CTCACATTTTTAATTTCCTCTCCATTCAGTTCCACAGTCATCTGTGAGCTAGAGCGCACATCCAATATTCTTCTAATAAATTTCATGTCAAGGAAATCCACACAAATAAAATTGGCATGGTCTGTAGTAGTAGACCATTTGAATATGTGAAATGCATTAAACTTTCCCCCTGCTGGTGCCCTGGAGTGACCAGGAGCAGGCTGGCTCTCCTTATTAGAACTAAATGCATGCAGACACCTCGAGGTAAGCTCAGAGTGCCAAATCATTATGAATTGTAACGTGGACACATCATTGTGAGCCTGTGAGTGTACTGAGTTAAAAACAAATCACCTGTTTCTGTGGAATCTGTGTCTAATGTGGAAATGAGGATGAGACTTGTATTGACATCAACAACACATTGCCATTGTGTTTGTTCTTGACTCAGAGGTAGTTGTTTTTAAAAAATAAAATTTAGCCTCTTTTTAAATTTACAGTCACATATTCTTTTATTGTTGTTGTTTGTATACAGTGAGTCAGCAGCAATCTCCTGCTGGATGCCTCAGTGTTTCACCGGTGAGAAAGATACTGACACAGGGTAAACAGGTCATCAGAGCCATGGGATGAAACCGAACGTCATTAACTGGGAGGGAGAAAGGCAAAATATAGAACTACAATGGGCTGCAGCGGGCTCAGTGGGGCTGAGCATGACAACACAGCTTTTCTCCCACTTTCTTTCTTGTTCTCACTCACTTCTGTGGTTGCTCTCTGGGAAAGGTCCAGGTTCTTCTGATGTGGTAGGGTCCCCTTTCTTCATACTAGCTGCAGTTAGCTCACCAAATAAAATGAAGTTTTATGTTTAATTGAGAAGTATTAACAGCAGAAGTCTGTCGAAAAGAGAATTTGGTTAAACTCGAAGAAAATGTTTCTTTGTTCAAAACTTGGCTGCTTAAGTATTTTGTTTGAAGTAAAGTAGACGTCCTTCTGACAATTCCTGAATTTTCTCTCACATAAACAATAAATTTAACTCAAACAGAACCCTGAAAAAAGTGCTTTCATCCACAGTAATCCACAATTAAGTGCATTTTTCTGCAATTTTGTGTGTGGCCTACCAGTGTTTGTGAGCTTTCTGAAGGAGGCAGAGATAGTCACTACTTGTTCCAGTGGCAGTATAGACTCAAAGTTTGGTTCCTGAGACTGAGACAGTTGTCTCTTGACCTTCTCTGCTAATATCTATAAATGGTCTGACCTTCACTTTTTAAATGTACATATAAATAATGAACAGATTCTCTGTTGTAAAGTTGAGCTAATAATCAATAATTTTGTGACCTTTTCATAGGCTGATCATTTCCTGTAGTGATCTATATGGGGTTAGAGTGACTGAGCATTGAAGGCAGTTGTTGCATAACATTAGCCTGAGTTTAGCAGGGATAACATGCATAGTATAAAAGACACAATATGTTAAAATGAAATATGTTAATGATGTAGCTTAGTTTCAACAAATACCCCCTTGGTCAAAAGTAAATGCATTAATAAACATGTTATTTTTTAACTGGCAAGTTATTCATGTACTGTAGTTAGGGAAAGTTTGTGGCTCTTCTATTAGTGACACCAGCATTCAACCCTTAATTCCCCCCTAAAAAAACCCAGCAGAGATTTTTGAGGGCCATATGTAACATACTCCTGAACTGGAGTAGAACAAGGATTTTTTTCTTCCCAACAACCGCAAACCGCCTGCTGGTCTTCTGCTGGTGCTGGAGTCTAGAAAATAATTAGCATCTGTGTTAATGAGCCACACCCATACAAGTTCCTAATTAAAAGTGTGTCACTCTCACTTTCTTATTTCAAAAAGAAAGCAACATTAACAATAATCTAATTCAATCTAAGCCAAATCCAAACAAAAAAATTAAGAGAACACATTTGACTAAAAAAGGAAATAATTTTTTTTATTTCTTTGAGGATTATCTTTATAGACAGTTTTCTATTATACTTATTTAAACAATAGAGCAGATTTGGAAAACATTGAGATAAATAGTGAAGGTGATTAAGAAAAATAGCTCCCACTGCTCCTTTTACTTCCTTCTTTCATTCCCTCTGCTGGACGCGTAATCTTTGTTTTGTTTTGAGGACGCCTCTCGCTGTGTTGGTGGAAATTATTCCTTCATTGCATCTACTCATATAATCTTCATTAGTGAGATGATTAAGAAGAAAAAGAAAAAACAAAACAAAAGGTATGAATCTACCCCTTCCTCCCTAATGTACGCTGCACACGGTTGTATGTGAATTAAAGTTGGCAGTGGTTTATTTGACTTGATTATTTAATTCCTTATAAACTTGGTTTTATGATACAAGCTGCAACAGAGACTGAGGTTTCAAATCTTTTTGATTGGTTTAGTTATGTTTGTTTGGCCCTCTGTTCACATTTCACAGTAATAACACATAAAAGTGACACAGGAGGGAGATTGGCCGGATAACAGCTGCAGAAGAGGCTGTGTTTGAGTCATTGTGAATGTGTGCATGCAAATTTTATTGAGGGTATATCGACATATTTATAACTTTGTTGTGCTGTGATTTCTTTAAAATGTCTTTTTGACCTTGCAGAAGAAACCAACTTTTAACATACTCGTAGTCCATTCCAACACGTTTTTAAAAAGAAAGAAAAACAAATGGTACAGATGGTGAATAATGGTTCAGCATGCATGTGTGTGGCTATTGATGAGTTTAAATGTTTATGTGGGAAAAACATTTATTTATCAATCCCACTTGAGCAGAAGGTACTGGGCCTCGGGTGGATGGGTGCATAAAGTCTGAGAGTGTGAGGAGTCTTAGGAGCAGTCAGAGGGCATCTGCTGTGCTGAGCAGCTTCTTGCCTTTGACCTAAGGCTCCGTCCTCCTATAATTCTTCTCATTATAGTCCTAATGGGCCAATCAGCAGCATGCTAAGCCAAAGGCATGCTTCTATCATCTTCACAGCTTTGCAGGGCTGTGTCAGTAATCCCTTCTCCTTTTTCCCATTCATACTACATGCCTGTCTCTGATGTATTTGTTCTGTTTCACTGGATTACTCCATCCAGCATTTCGGTGTTGACTGCCCTCTGAATTGCATTAGAGTATCTATATGCATGGGAAGTGTATCACTTTGGTATCTAGAAAACAATGTGTGGATTTAATGACCTGTGTGCTGTTGACCATGTTTTGAGATTGTTGTGATTCCCAGAACATATTGGTCCTATGAAATCCTTTAAACAAACTATCAAAAAATAACAAAGATAAAAAATGTATGGGATTTAGTATTCCATCCATCCATCCATCCATCCATCCATCCATCCATCCATCCATCCATCCATCCATTTGCTTCTGCTTATCCTTTTCAGGGTCGCAAGGGGTGCTGGAGCCTATCCCAGCTGTCTTAGGGTGAGAGGCAGTGTACACCCTGGACAGGTCGCCGGTCACCATGTAGCACATCATCATATACCAGCTAGCCCAACATCAGTAACCCTTCAAACGTCAATGCTGTTTAGTTTCCTGTCTTCATTTATGCCAGAAGTGATAGCAGAGCTATATGTTTTAATTTTTTCAGAAATTCCTCAGTCAGAACATGGTATATCATGTTTAGGTGGGAAACTAGGCGAGCTAACTTTCTGCTAACTTTTAACTCAGTGAAATTGAATAAATTCTGTTTTTATGGATGCCTGGATTTTAAACTTCATTGTTACACCTGGTAGAGCAGCCACATTGATCATTTTATTAAAGATGAAAGAATTTTATCTTTAATAAAATGAAAAAATGATAAAACTCAGAAAATCTCAATCTGCTTTCATAAAAATTAGTTTGCTGTACTCAAATAGTATCTGCAGCCACCAAATTTGAATCCAATAGCCAGTAAATCTGCCACAGCTCTGCGATGCTATTGCGTCAATGTGGATGAAAGACTCCAGCAACTTGTTGAATCTATGCCACAAATAATTAATGCAATTATGAAAGCAACTGTTAATTCACAACTTCATCTTATGTTTTTCATTGTAGCTGGAATCCAATATCATTAAGAAATTCATCTACACCAACCCTCAAATGCTCACGTTTGTAGAGAATTAATGCTATATTGAATCAAGTTATTGGACATGCATATTATGTCATTTTAAGTCATTTTTGATACTTTAATTCCAGCTGTTTAATAATAAAGGCAGAAAATCTGATTTTTAATTTTTTTTTACATTTTAAGGCCAAATACAGTATCATCCTTCAGCTAGTCAGAACAGTGACTTCAAGGTTAACAAAGTGTCGTGATGTGAAAAGTTAGCTTGTTCTTGTGCTAAACATGTATGGGGCATTTGAATCAATAATGGTGACAAAAGCTGGGCCAACAAACACATCAACCTAATCACCTTAATCCTAGAGATCCCCAAACTCACAGTCCCTCCACCCTCTCTTTGTGTTACAGTCAGCAGATGTATCTGCATATGTCAGCACTTGTTTATTTGTTCATTATTCATCAAAACTTATGGCTCAACATACAGACCTTCTTCTTATACATTTTCAATAAGCTCACAGGATAAACTATAGAAATCAAAAGCCTCTAGAATGAGGCAGTAAGGCAGTGGTGCCAGCAAATGAAGGGTAAAAGGTTCTCAAGACCTTTAAAGATACTTTTTGGATTAGGAATTCAGCCCAAATGCACCACAGAATATGTTCCAAGAAATTGGATAGTCCAAGCCAAAAAAAAACAAACGTCTTTCTCCATAACATTGTTATTCTACCACTAGATTTATGGCTTAAAATGCAAAACACACCCTATCAATCACATGCTGACCTTCAGAAACTATTTATAGTGAGTGGAGGGCATGTAAGGAGTGGAGCATTTATGCAAACTAGTGGAGCTTAGGTGTAAAAAACTCATAGACCTCCATACTTGCTTTCATTCTCACAGAGCCTCCATGCGTATATGTTGTAAATGCAGCAGACGGCACTTTGGGTTTAATATGTATTCAACACAAACCCCTTTTCCTGTTGCATTTGTCCTCCAGGGTCCTTGCAGGGCGAGTACCAGAGAAGACTGTACAAGGAGCTGCTGGCTAACTACAATCGATTAGAGAGACCTGTGGTCAATGACTCAGCTCCCATCCTGGTGGAGCTGGGCCTCACACTTCTGCAGATCATAGATGTGGTGAGAAAACTGGATGTGTGTGTGTGTGGCATGGTATCTAGTTTGGTCATTTTAAAATAAAGAATGTGTGGAAAAATATGAAGTTTTCCAGGTGTAATTTTATGAAAACCTGAAGTGGATTTTAGTTACTTTAACGTTGACATTTTTGTATTTAGCTGAGTGTTACATTCATGGAGACTTTTCCGTGTAAGAGTTGTGGCTTTAAGGTTTGCGCTAATTTTGCAGGTGACATTAAATATTACACAATACAGGCAAGTATATATGCAAATGTGTTCTTGTTGTGTCTGTTTGAAGCTGTAATGTGGGTATCCATGAAGTGATTGATGAATCAAACACTAGATTTGGGTTAATGAAACAATTTTAAAAGCTCTGTTTTATTCTATTTATTTTCATTTTAAGGTGGCTCTATTGTGTAGTAGTTTACTTATTTGCTTGGCAAGTGAAAGGTCACTGATTAGAGTGAGGCCCACTGTGGTGACCACTTGTTGCAAGGGAGGAGCCAAAAGAAGATTACATTTTATTTTTTTAATTTTTGCAGCTCCTTCTTGCAGCTCAATTGTAGTTTTTTACCGTGCCTCAAAAGCCCTGTGATTTTCTCTACCACAGTTTCCCATGTTGTCTGGAGTATATTTAAGAGATTGTTTAGAATCTCCTTTCCTGATTGTGAGTTTGTGTGAGATTGCTCATACAATTCTTGTTTATTAGCACACTGAATGGCTGTTACCAGCTGTAATGCATGCCATTTGGCCAAAAGGTGCCCTCCTAAACTTTGTGGTAAGACTGTTTTCCTTGTTAATGGTTGTGTTTAAACTCAACTTGTGGTTTGTCTTACCTTCGACCAAGTTGTTCTGGTGCATAAATCTAACCAAACCCAAATCTTACTGTTTGGTTTAATTTTAAACTAGAACTCTGCCCAATACACAGTGGAGTGACCACTGTTGATGTGTCTATATAAGAGTAATAAAAAATGGTAAAAGTAATTCAGTGGTTGATAATATTCGATACAGGGGAGCTTAATACACTTTAAACAGTTGCAGTTTATGAACATTATATTTTATTCCTCTTTTCTCGGGCCTGTGACCCCAAAATCAGGTTTCTACTCACTTTAATGACTTTTTAAATAGTAAATTATCTTCTTAGAGTAGCAGCAGGTTGTCACATGAAGCCTCATTAACCATCAGAAAGAATTAAAAACGTAACAGACCCGACAGAGGCTGTGTGTACATTTATCAATCAGTCTCATCCACAGAGAGGAGACAGTTTAGGGAAGTGTTAGCATGTTACATGCACTGGTTCTGAGATTTAACTGCCATGTGTCTGCTGTCATTTGTCAGAAATGACAGATGCAACAGTTTGTGTGCGTGAGAGCGTGCACTTTCAAAAGGACGTCTTCCTTTTTACTGAGACAAAGCGTTTCCAGTTGTTCTTGTTTAATCTATTTGATAATTAAGGAACCACATGTTCTTCTGATGATCTACAGCTTCTAACAGACTGAGGAAGACATTCAGACAGATTCAGAATTTTACTGTTCTTTACACTAGTTTACTGTAGTAGGGCTGTAGTCTAAAACAAACAAACTTTCAGTCCTTCTAAAATCATCTTTCAGTCTGTTTTTCCACTAATTTTTGTTTCTCTTTATATGTGGTGATGCTTCTTAAATCACTGAAAAGCTTTTATGTAAAAACTGAGGACTCAGATACTTACAAGTCATTTATTTGTCAGATCAGATTGGCTCTCCTTCATAAAGGGTCTTCAGTTAAGAGTGTACAAAAGATGTGTTTGGAATTCAATTTTTTTAGACTGAATGTCAATTAACTTTTCTGCACCTCAATATGTTTCTTTTCTGACAAAGATTTTTGACTGTTCCAGACAACTTTCAGAAAAAGGCTAATCCTGTTTATTCCTCCTGTCTCTAACAGTCTGATTTCCAATCCTTTCTACTATCCATGTTGTTACTGAGATACTTTGACACGTCTCACCATCTTCTGCTCTTAGTTCAGTGGTATCCTTCGTTAATAGATACTCAGATTTTGTTGAAAGTGTGTCTTTGAGCATGGCCCAGGCCCATTTATTCCATCATACACCTTCCAAACAAAGTCAGCAAACTGAAGTGCAGTTTTTGTCCGCTGAGCTGCTTCATATGGACATAATGTCTGTCCTGCTGCTTCAAAAGTTATCAGTTTCCTAAAAAGTCATTCCTGAGAGAGGCTGTTCCAGGGCATTTTTGTTGTATAAGTAGAAGCTGCTTAAAGCTCTTGGCAGTCTCTGATGCTTTTTCAATAATGAATCTGACCATCCTCTAGTTTTTTTTTTAACTTGAGTGACGTGGACTTCATCTGTAATCAACAACCAAGGGAGCAGTCTTGACAGCAGGGTTTTGACGATGGTCTTAAGGAACTTTGTGATTTCTCATCTTGGCTTCTGGACAAGTTCATGCCACTGAGACCTGCATTGCTCCTGTTCTCCAACATCTTAGCTGGTGCTTCAAACAGCAACTGGTGTATTGTGTTCACTGAAGCTTTGGTCTGATTTTTATACCGTATGACGTGAAAATGCAAATGAACACGTATTGATAGAAACACCAAGATATTACTAGGAAATGTATACAACACTATTACTGTAACATACAGTAGAATCCCCCAAAGCTTGATTTTTGCTGCAATAATAATAATGATAGACCATAAAATAAATAAATAAATATTGCCATTCTGTACATTATGGCCCTGTTTACTGTGCTGCAAGAATTTTGTCTGACATCAAATAGATATGCAAATTCAGCTTTTCAGGATATTCCGTTTTATTTTGATTGTTTCATTAAATTGTTTATAGACAAAGTTATTTACCTTTTATTTGACAAATTCAAAAAGAGGATAAAAAGCTAAAAAGATGCAGGAATTCTGCTTGGATTTCATTTAACTTATATCCCCTTTTCTTTAAAGTAAGGGAGCACAGGCAGCAGGAATAGTGATGCTTGCAGAAATGCTAATTTCCACCCTGCAGCTAGAATATGAGCAAAATCATTTCCAGAAATGCTATATGTACACTTTAAAAACATTTCTAAAGTTCATTATTTTATAATGTTCGTCATTCTTTGATTTCAGCAAGACATGCAGTATTTTACAAGAGCTAGCATGATATTTTACATTACATCACCCCTGTTTAACAGACAGTGTTATATAAAAAAGCTTGGAAAAGTTTTAAATAGTCCTTTGCCACCATGAAGCTCTTTAACTGAGCTACACTTTATTGCAAAAAATCACTTCTAGAAGGTTTCACATAGCGTGGTTGGTTCTTTGGAAATGCAAAACAGCTGCAATGACTTGCTGATCACAAAGGCATTTTCCAGTTTATTAAATATGAATTGCTTTGGTTCTTCGCTCTTATATAAAAGAAAATCTCACTCTCTTTTTGTCTTTCTTCTACTTCTGTTTTTAGGACGAGAAGAACCAAGTGCTGATAACGAATGCCTGGCTGCAGCTGGTGAGTTAAAGTCTGAGTGGGGCACATGACCATCAACTTAATGTGCTGTAATACTTGCTTAATTGTTGTCTCTGAAAATAACATAGTGCATGCTCTAAAAGTTGGAATAGTCTTACTCATTTCGGCAACTCTATTATCAGCATTATAGGTGTTTTTCAGTTACACCTAACAATTTGGCTTTTTTAACCTGCTCACCTATGAAAGCCTGCCTGGACCCAAGCACCAGATTCTCGGTCTATTGAAAAAACATTGGAGCAACCTGATGTTTAGGTTTCTAATGGTACACAACACATAGGTTGTTAACACAAAAGGCTCAAGCAGCCAGATTCAGTGTCTCTGTGTCATTGTCCTGTTGCCTTTCCCGCATATACTGTTTATATGACACAGTCGACACCCAAGTCCAAAGTCCAGGTGTATTTAAAGAAATAGAGCAGCTTTCAAAAAGCTAAGGGAAGAGTTATCACTAGTTTACTGTCCCATGCTATTTCTATTTTAAGATACAGACTTTTAATGTAGCTTGTCTGCTCCATTTACATTTTTGCTATTCAATTTCTTACATTGTGACAGGTTACAGGTTTAGCAGTGCATGAGGGTAAATTATGCCATTTTATAAAAATGCCACATAATCTATAACTGAATGAATGAGTCTATAAATATGTATGTTTCTGTCTCAGTACTGGACAGACATCTACCTGACCTGGAATCCAGAAAACTATCCCGGTGTCCAAAACCTGCGATTTCCTTCAGACCAGGTCTGGACGCCTGACATCCTTCTTTACAACAGGTCAGTTCTGACTTTGTTCACTCATTGCAGCCTTACTTTAGAAGGTTATGACCTTGATCTTTCTTAAAAAAAATGTTTTTCTACTTTTCTTGTGGAGCAGTTTAACACTGTCTGTCCTTTGCTACAAATAAACTCACCTCTCAGAGCCATCTTTCCTTGCACTATGTATTTTTGACAGGAGCGAATTAAACGTGTATATAATTCTTTAGATATGCCGCCATTTTTAAAATTAAATTCCACCTTTAATCTCCACAAAACCGTGCAGATTAGTTTGAGCCAAAGTGATAAATATTCAATCAAAATGCAGCACAAACACATTAATACAAAACAGGAGGAGACGGGTTATTTTAAAAACTCTGTGGCAGTCAAGTCACTGACGATGAACGAAAGCTGATAAAAAGCAGCTGATGTCATTAAAACTGATTTTCACTATATTAAAAAAATATTAAAATGTTAAAAAATAATAGTTTTTAATGAATTTAGGAGCCGCACAAGAGCTAAGGTCAAAATTATTGTTTTCATAAACGATGTTCAACAAGCTCATTGCATTTTTGATTCAGGTCAAGCTGATGATGGTGGCTTATCCACTTCATGCTTCTGTGTAAGGCTTTCTCAGTCCAATTAGAGATGTAGGCCAGTTGTTTTCCTCCAAAACAACTAATTGCAATGCTTGAGTGAGAGATGGATGTTCAGTTTGAGACTAAAAGGAAAGGAGAAGATGAAGGGATGGATAAATTTAGTACCTCCAGCACACGCATCACATGGACCATTAGGACAAAACAAAGGTCTAGGAGTATTAACCCAAATTTTAAAAGCTTAGCTTTTAGACCTGCCAGGATTACCCAACCTAATCTCTTGACTCTCACCCCTCTCTTTCCCCATGTCTGCCTTTTACCCTCCCCTACCCCTTCACCGCCGGCCCGTCTCACCATCCCTCTTTTCATTTCATTTCATTTGTGTCTCCCTCCACGTCTCTTTCATAACTCACTGTCTTACTATAATTCATTCCATTCAATCAACTCTTTCTCTCCATATTTTATCGTTCCCATCTTTCATCGAGTGCTGTTTATAAATCACTCCATCTGCTCTGTCGAAGTGTCAGCATGTTTCCTCGCCCTCCTCTCTCTGCCCGCTTGTCTTGTTTCTGAACTGGCTACACACTCCCCTAAAACTTAGGTGCTGCAAATGTTATTTACCAAACACTTTGTTTTGTTGTTTTGTCTCCATATTTTTTTTGTTTGACTTTTTTTGTCAAATCTAATCAAATCATAGTGAAATGTATCAGTCTGTGCAAAACAAAGGTTCTGTCCTCTTTGTTTCATGTTAAGGGTTTTCTATAAATTTGCATACTTTGTCAAAGTAAAGTCTCCCTGTTGTATTTTACAAAATATATTCATAGTAACATATGTCCATTACAGCACTACTGCTAATATATTATGGCCTGAATATTTTTTTTTACAGTTTTTTCAGAGCAATGGCTGAAAAAACCCCCAAAACAGACTCTATTGAGAAATCTAAAAATCTGTTGAACTCGCTAAAAGTGAACAGCAACATGAAGCTAAATATGAAGAGCCAGTCCACAGTTGAGCATGAGGGTTTATGCACCTCATGAGGAAATATCTAAATTTACAGTTTTCAGAAATATTAATAATATAGCTACTATTACAGTTATTATTGGTAGGGTTGCTATAGTTACACTGCATGACACTGAGCTTTTACACAAATGCACAACAAACATCTGTACAGAAATTCCCACGACCTCTTCTCTTAGGGGTGCCACTTGGGCTGATGTATGCAGTCTTGGTAAATATAATAATTACATACTAAATAGTACTTATTCCATAACATTTTAACTCATAACCTAAAGTAACATTGTGAGGGACCAAGCAGCCAAGGCATAGAGGACACGGGAAAAATGTCTTCAAAATGGGTTCTCTTTATTTTAACCCTCAAAAAAAGTTCAAAAAGACAAAATTCAAAAATATAATTAGTGGGCTCATAAAAGAGATCAACTAAATATAACTCTACAAAAAGTAATTTCCAGAAACTTATATAAACAAAGTGGACACAACTTAACTCACAAACTGACCTAATCACAAAGTTTGACCAAACCATTTACACACAACAGGGGGGAAACAAAAACAAACACCAACACTAACTAAGCACAGAATAACTTTAAGTAAAGCTAAAACACCCCTGTTTCTGATAGCACGTGCTTGGTCCTGCTGAGCAGGCATTTTGTTCTCAAAGTCCTCAGCCATACCTTTTGCCCAGACAGCAGACAGCCAACGCTCCAAACCAGGTAACTCAAAGAAAGAGAAACATAATTAATATAACAGAAAATATTTTTAGAAAAACCATACAATGCTATTATGCGTGTGCCTCATAATATCAGTGTTAGGTTTAAGTAAAATGATTAAAGAATCATATTAGTGAATAAGCAACTGCAAACCAAAGTAATAAAGTGAATGGATGGACTTGTTTTACCTATGTGTGGCTGATGCCATCACAAACATATTCAACATATATATACATAACATATATACATGTATACAATGAATCTGCAAATATATAACAAAAAAACTGCTATGAGGCATATTAAATAACAGTTCGTCATTTTTACCCAGAGATCTCGTCATCCGGTTTGGGCTAATTTATCTGTAATTTATAACTTGATATAACTCTAAGAACAAAATGTATTGCACCTAATCACTCTCATTTTTATGTGAACACTGTGAAAGATGCACTTTGTGTTTTCTTTAAATGAATAATTCCATGTTACCACTGTTGGATGCTTGGTGTAGGTGTCCTCCCTACAAGTTGTAAGCTGAAGAATGAAAATAAGAAGTACTTACTAGACAAAAGCTTACCATAAATTTTTTTATTCATTTCAATTATATTAATATTACCATAATGATGTTTAGAGGTGCTGAGATCCGATTCTGTCTAAACATGGAATGGACTGAATGGAAAGACAAAAAATGAGATAAGCCAGCTCATTTCTTTCCCAGTGTGAATTTCTCCGATATTGCTTTTGTTATTGTCAGCCTGTTTTGTTCACACTGCTTCACAATTATATTTTACGCATGGGTAATCTATACAGTGAGCCATGGATTTATCATCCAGAAGATATCTGTGCATTCCTGCCTGGGGAAAATAGTTTTTTATCCTCCATCTTTGCAATAGTTTCAGTCTTTAATTAGCACATTTCATCTTCCAGTTCAATAATTACAGTAGGTCTAATGACTTGCTTTTCGTCAACTGGCCTCATGAAAACACAAACCAAACTTTAATTAACAGATGAGACCGTTAAGATATTTCTCTTCTACTGAGACTTCTACTTTACTTCTACTATGGCTTCTCTGAAAAAAACCAAAACTTTTCTGTTAATTCACAAAATACTAAGTTTTAAAAAGACACTTTATTTTCTGTTTTATGCTTTGTCTTTTACTTGTTTCGTTTTAGTGCGCCAGGTTTTGGATGAAGCCTTTATAAATGCTGAAACACTGAGAATGATTCAGACCTTTGATGGTGCAGATAAAATAATAGTTGTTATAGTTATACCATTGTGACATTTTTCAAAGCCACCCAGTGGCAGGGCTGTTCTGGTTGCTGAGCATATGTTTGACATCGCTGATATAAAGTAAATAGAACTATAATGTGCCGAATATTTGAGCTGTTAACTTTTCTCTCATTAGAGGAAACAGAAAGCTGCAACGATGAACATAACAGACGTCAAATTCAGGTAGGACAAAGACTGAATTGCAGTTATGGCAGAAAACGTAAACATACAGCACGCAACATTGTGACAGGCCATATGAATTAATAGAGAAGTAATCAAATAGATGGATGTGGACTTTTTTTCCCTGGACGGATAGCTGAGTTGAATGAATAGACAGATGGCTGGATTTTATGATGTTTCTCTGATCCATTAAAATTAATGAAGTTTTGAATGAAAGAAAAGAGTCAATGTCTTTACTGCCCAGGAGCATGTTTTCAAAATTCACAATGGTTTATAATAAGGTTTATAAGAAACCTAAAAAACCCCAATTCTGTCATCTATTATTTTTTCACAAATCGCTGAAGTGGTGACAGGATAAGTAACAATAAGGTGCGGTGTTATTAGTATATGTATTCATGTCTATGAGGCTGTGCAAGTTCCTAAAATGCTGGTTTAAACTTACATTACAGACAACATATTGTATGCAAAACCAAAAAAATTATCAGATACCACTGTGTAACGTTACAAGTCTTCTTCCGTCCTGTTTGCTTCTGTATTTTATGATTTGAAGCTGAATTAAGTTTATAAGTAATCCATTTAACGTCACTTTGCACTCTGCTTCTATTCTGTCCATTTGCTAACCACGGAGCCTGGAGGCTGTCAAACAGAAAGCCTCAAGTCATGATGCCCTGAGGCTGCTTAATAGAGAGCTGTATCTCTGGAATATGACATAATGGACATGGACAGATTGGTCTGTACTTCATGCAGTCATTCTGAGTCTGAGGCACTGACCTTGTGTAATTCTCAACTATGCTTGACTAAAAGCTTCAGAAAAGCTTTGGGGAAGGTGTTAGCTGTTTCCTCTGGAGAAATACACATTCTGTATCTCTATTTTATTCTTATCTTTCTCAGATTTCTTTAAAAAAAAAAAAGCTTCAGACTAATCATTTAAGATACATAAGATTATATTTTACATAATTTTATATAAACATGTTTACCGTTTGCACATTTCTTGTGCTGCATTTAGAATTTGTTCACTCTGTATGGCCTTTTTTCTGCCTCACATCCAAAAGACTTCCTTCTTTTTATTATTGAGAGTCAGGTGTTGAGTTAGTGAGAATAAAGCCGGGTGAGTCATGTCCCATGGTGCAGAGACCTGTCACTGCCACCATTGTCACTGTCGGTCAGTCTCCGTTTCCCCCTTGCTGCACTCTGACATATCCACAGCGCCCTTTTGCCAGCCTGTATGTGTGTATGTGAGCGTGACAGCTTCTCCTTCTCCCAGGGATATCACGTGTCCAACTGTATGCTGTTTTAATAATTCTAATCTTTACATGGCAAAATGTTGGTTACTCCATTATTAAGGGTTTCAGAAACTTCAAATATGCTGACAAATGTTTAACTGTAAGGTCTGGTAGATCTTTGATGTTACTTGTGCATCGTGTAAGAGCCATGTAATGATGCTTTAAATTAATAATTCCATGTGACCACTGATGAAAGCACTGTGGAGGTATAAGATAAAGAAATGCAACAAAAACTATAATCAAGCTGAAGGGGTAGGCAAGTGTCTTAAGTAAAAATTGAAAAATTGCGATTAGACAAGTGTGTACCTTCTGGCATCTACTCACACACACACACACACACACACACTTCAGGACATCGTCTACTGTGATGTGTGTAAGCGCTGATTACAAGAAAGCTTGCACATCCAGATAAAGTAAGGCCAAAGCTTGAATAATTCATTGCGTGTCTCCACCTTGGCCAACCCCACACATCCCTTCCTGAGTACCTGCAGGATCCACAGCTAATAGCGACGCACACAGCAGAGACATAAAATATAACACTTGACCCTCCAGAGAAAAGGTCAATCACTCAATCTGAGAAGAAGCAGGTACAAAGAAAAAGGAGCCATCTACAAACTTTGGTTAAAATGCAGGCCACGTTTTTTTGTCAAGTCTCAATACTGCTGTGGGGTATTTCAGACATGCTGATGTTATCACTCTCATTGGGGATTGAAGTGTGTGTGTGTGTGTGTGTGTGCCTATTGCTTTATTTTTTGTTTGCATTTTACTGCATTGTGTGTGCCTGTATACTGTGCATTTATGTACAGATCTATATGTGGCTTTTTAAGCTGTTTGGAGTGTGAACTAAAACAATATAGCTCACAACAATTAATACACAATGTGTCTAATAGTTTGCACATGTGTATTTTCATGTAATAAATACACTTATTAATCAAAATGTGTTATTATTTAAAAACTACAGTACAATAAAGCATTTGCTCCTTTGCCAGTCATATTGTCCACAGCATCAGTGGTCTGTTCTTTTTTTCTGCAGTGTTTTTTGCAGGGCTTATTTTTTTGGGCTATTGCTGCATACTTTTTACCAGCACTGTCTGCTCCTTCAGGTTCAGTCCTCTGATCAAAACTTCTGTTTTGTATTCACACTCTTGCAGACCTTTCTTTCAGGAAGCTGAAATTTGAAGCAATATGAGAAACTCTCACTCTCTCACTCTTTTTGTTGCAGACTTTTGTGTGTTTTTGTATTGTCTTGTTAATTTTGTTGTTTTGGTAGCTCATAAAAGAAGATTTCTTCCCCTGTATTTGATAGAGCAGCAAGAGTGAACAGGGAAAGACATGGAGCAAACTCAAACACTGTCTGCTGCATTGTCACCTGCTCAACCTTAATTGATATATTTTACTGAATTTTTTGTATTCACTGGTCTAAGCTGACTCATTTTTTCACTTCTATCCAAATGCCGTATTGAAGAAGGATCTAAATTGCTTTCTTCCAGCCAGCTGCTACACTCAGAATTTAGTTTGCTTTATGACTTTTGCCATATCGTTAGCTTCATAGCATAAGTGCCTAAGTCATTTTTTGGTCAAATTGAGATTTTTGCCTAACTTTACTCCCCTACCACTGCTGCATCATCCTGTCCGTCTGCCTATGTCATCACAAAAAAATGACTTAGGCACTTATGCTATGAAGCTAACGATATACTGTTAATTCTCTAAAAGTTCAGGTTTTGCCTCTGGCACTTTATTAAGGACTTCCCATTCTAACCAACACCAGAGGAGCTTTTCTTTAATATTTAATTAGAGTTCAAGTGGAGTACCAGAGCTGTAGTACAATCAAGGTTATGCACATGCATTTTCTTTACTGTAAGCATCTATCCCTAAGTGCTAGCACTCTTCGACTTGCAGATGTAACGTCAAATTATTTATTTGTTTTTGGTACATTACAGCGAATATTGTCAGTGAAACAGATCCAATAATTTTTATGTGTTTCATATTTTGCTCAAACTGGCGTTTAATCATTGCAACAGTTAGTGAGTTACATAAAACACAAAAAGGATCACCTACTCTGTTTTGGTTTTGCAATTACATATTTAGCATTAAACAGTTTTCATCAAGGTGTATAGTTGCAGGCAGGTTGAAGGCTCAGTAGATATATCACTCAACAGCTCCCTGCTGCCACTGCAGTCACTGCAGACTATACATGAAATACGTCATCCCCCCCCATTTTGAAGCTTCAGTGTTAGCATCTTAGCTGCTATCATGCTATCATGCTATCATGGGGCATGATAATTGCATTAAAATGCTCTGACCAAACGTAGGTGGTAGCTCTTGGCTACATCACCCCCTATCTGTGCATGCACCTGTCCCTTAAAGCAGCCTTGCCTCAACTTAAAGCGTTGATAAATTGTAACGGGTTAGTTTTACATAAGCTATATACCCTTGTAAAATTATTAGCTATAAAGATCAGTTGCTAAGCATGATCGTTTCTGTGCTAAAGATTGTTATTTTATTATCTAGTCCATAAGGATTGACTCATGAGCTAGTCTCAAAAAGTCACTAAAAGAATTGCAGTTTTTGGCACTTGGCTTCAGTTTTCAGACTGCAAATGCTGGCACAAAATGCAAACAATATTAACTGTATCAGGTGTCAGCCCCATGGTAGACTGGTGTCCTCTCTCAGGTGTAAACCCTTCTTTTGAACAGAGACAGGCATTGTGCAATTTGCTATTTCTGAGAGCACAGCAAAGCTTCAGGGTGACTGTGAAGAGTAGGAACTGCTACAAGAATAAAAACACACAAATAAAGGCACATTGGCACCACTTTTGCTGCAAATAAACAGATGTGACAGAAATACCTTCTTGTTACTTTTTCCATCAGCGCTTGCATTCCCCAACAAGATTATTTTATCATGTGGCAATGAATGAATGCTTTAAAAGTACTGTCCTCTGCTTTCTTCCCAGTGCGGATGAAAGGTTTGATGCCACGTTTCACACCAACGTGCTGGTGAATGCGTCGGGTAACTGCCAGTATATTCCCCCTGGCATCTTGAAAAGCACCTGTTACATCGACGTGCGTTGGTTTCCCTTCGATGTGCAGAAGTGCGATTTGAAGTTTGGCTCATGGACACACAACGGCTGGCTTCTGGACCTCCAGATGCTCGATGTGGACACATCCACTTATATACCAAATGGAGAGTGGGATCTTGTGGGTAAGAGGGCTTCTTTAATCAGAACATTGCAGAACTTTGCAATAAGAAAGGCTGCTTAATTCAATCTGTCACCAGAGAGTGAGGTGTTACATCAGGTTTTCTTAAATCAATATTTCGAATCTCTTTTAAGTAAATAAAAAGCTAAAATACTCAGACATAAGCAGATGTTATACATTATATACATGCACACTGCCTGTTAATAGACTGACATGAGGCCAAAAAAATGAGCTATAATGAATAGACTGGAAATGGAAGAAGTTTTGGAAGACCTCTCGAGGTTTTCAAGCTGGGACAGAGTAGAAGGAAATCCCAGTTCCAGGGCTCTGGGGTTTAGGTTAGTTTGAAATGGGTGTGAGACAGAACCAGATGGCATGCAAGAGAAACAGTTTGACACTTTGACATGAGTGTAGCCAAGCCATATGTGAGTGGAGCTAATCACTTCCCTAGAGCTGAACCTTAAGGTGAGAAAATTCTAAAATTCAGGAAAACCATGGCCTACCTACTTTCTACTTTTTTATTTTGCCAAACATGTAAATACAGAGTGAAAATAATGAGGTTGAAATACAATTTTATTTGAGAAGGGGCTGTATAAAATATTAACATAAATGCTGCCATTCAATGCATTGTACCAGAGTTAGCTTAAGCTAATTTGCAATCCCATTGGCAGGTCGCATGGTCACATGGTGTTTGGGTTTACATGGTAACAAACATTTAAATGAAGTTCGCTCTTTAGTCCACAGAAACAGATCTGCATTTGTGTCCTTCAGGTGTGCCAGCCAAGCGTAATGAGTTGTACTATGAGTGCTGTAAGGAGCCCTACCCTGATGTGACGTTTACAGTCACCATGCGCCGCAGGACTTTGTATTATGGACTAAATCTGCTCATCCCCTGTGTGCTGATCTCTGGCTTGGCCCTGCTGGTCTTCCTTTTACCTGCAGACTCAGGAGAAAAGATTTCTCTGGGTGAGAGGGGCATGCTGAACACACGTTAGCTTACTGCAGATATGTATTGGTGCATATGTGAATAAGTAACAAAAAAGAAGAATTGATATAGAATATTGGTCGAGTAAAATAAAACAAACAACAAAGGGGGGGGGGGGTGTATTATTTAGACATTCTTTAAGTTTTTAAATAAAGGAGAGTGTTCAAACTAATAAGAATGCAAACACCCTGCACAGTACATCAAAACTTCAAGGTGCCCTCACATGCATTACAAGCATATTTGTCCACAATGAATGTTGTAATGAATTCATGCATTTAAAGACACTTTAAAAAAAAATCACTGAATGCATTCTGTCCGTGCAGAGCATTGATGAATAGCTACCTGTCTGTGAGCAATCAGCAGCTACAAAGTAGGGGAGTTTTGAAGCTGTAACCTACCTTGAACATGTCAGAGAGGGCACCATCTGACAAATGGTTGTAGTCACGAGAACATAACTGATTACATACATAAGTAATTACAAGAATAATTTCATACACCAGTGACCCTGATTGCATCATTATGTATATGCTCATGTTCTCTCTCACTGTGTCTCTCTTGGTTTCTGTCTCAAGGCATCACTGTGCTCCTTTCGCTAACTGTCTTCATGCTTCTGGTAGCTGAGATCATGCCTGCAACGTCAGACTCTGTCCCCCTCATTGGTGGGTTATATTTCTGTGTCTGTGTGAGTACATGTAACATGTTTAAGCGTGCGTGAATGTTGAATCAGGGGGAGCAAATGAGATTGGTATGCCTTAGAAGATAAAGCATACCAATGATTTTGTTTAGCTTCACCTGATACTTACTGATTATACCTCTTTGTCAAAACTTTATTATGGCTTCTGAAAAATGAGTGACAGCAGCAATAACAGGATAACTTACATTCACCTGCCACTTTATTAGTTACAACTTGTTGGTACTACTTCCGATTCATCTCAAAGGCGCTCTATTGGATTGAGATCTGGTGGCTGTGGAGTACATTGTCATGTTAAAGAAACCAGTTTCAGATTATTTCAGCTTTGTGTGCTGGAAGCAGGCAGAAGATGAGAACATTTTGTTCATAAAAGGAATGGACTCTATGTTCACTTGGTACTAAAGAGCCCACAGTGTGCCACCACCATCACCACCACCTAGAAGAGGATGGACCCATACTTTCATGGCATTTATGCAAAATTCTTGCCCTGCTGTCCAAATGTTATAACAAAAATCAAGATCCATCAGACCAGGCAACATTTTTTTTTAGTGTTCTGTTGA